ATCTGTTTTGGTTATATGCAATAAGTACATGTACATGGGTGTACATGTGTATGTATAAATAGTTTGCTTTTGAACATAAATAGTTCCATCTGCTTCACTAGCTGAATGTGTATATTTATTCTTAGATGGTGCCACCTAATGAATGGTACACATAGTCGATATACCATAGCTATAGATTGTATGGGAATACATGTATACATGTATGTATTTAATTCTGTGTCACGTACAAAGTTATTAACAGCCCATAGAATTGCATTATAGTATAGTATAGTATATTTTATTTGACACTAAATAATATATTTTGTATATGATAAATATACGAAGCCCCCAAATTAAATAACCCCAAGATAGAGGAATTTATAATGAATCATGATTAGAAACTACTGGCTAATGTAGAATGTGCAGATCTGACTGACATCCCTGAAGTATGAAAGTACCTCAAGTAGCTATCTGAAGACCATCTGCCTAGTGCCTTAATCATGTGATCTTGGATACCGGCATTTGCTGCAGACGTAGCTGCCCCTATACGGAAGGAATGGCCTGTAAATTGAAATGAACTGAGACCCAATGAGCAGACAAGTCTGAGTAAATACTGTAGGAAAACAGAACGCCGTCAGTGGTAAGTTGTCTTCAGTTACAAACAGAGGGTTCCCTAAACTAGGTCTAGGATGCAAAGCCACTCTGAGAGACACATATCGCTTCAGACTCTGTACTGGACACATGCGGTCATTTCTGAATAATCTAATTACCACTCCTTCACGAAATTGATCTGACTTTGATGACTTCAACCGTAGAAAAGCTTGAGCATCACCTTGAAAACTGACATCCTCAATACATAAATGAAAATCTCTATTAAACGCTCCATAGGACCTGACGGTGAATTCAACGCAGCGCAGGAAACCAAAAAAAGCTACTAACACAACAGTTTGCATGAGGATATCAATGAACTGGGTAAATACTCCTAACTCAAGAGTACTAAACATTAAATAAACAATATCAGCTGTGAAAGCACAGCGTGGCCTAGTGCCTCGTCCCTGATTACGTTTAATCGCCCTGAGTAACAAATTTACCCGTACTAATGGCACACCGACAGTTACCTGCCATGGATTAGGTACACCTGCTTCAATGTATCTGAAACGAATCCCAGCAAGGTATAGTCTTATCGTAGATTCTTTGAGTTGTAGATACTTGTAACAATGTGTAATAAAAAGTAGTAATAAGTCCTCTGATACTGCTGGTAAATTACCGAAAGAGCATGACTCAGCGTGCATGTTCACAAACGAATGAAAAGGTTTAAACCTGAGTTATAAGCTTGCCTTGTACTAGGCGCTAATGTACAACTCCACAGTTCACGCACATTTTGCTCTAAATCTGCATTACTTCGTAATATGGTGGACACGGTGTCTTGTGCTTGTGTGCTGCTGGTGCAAGGTGCCTGAATTCCTGAAACTGGAAACGAGATAATGCATCAGCTACAGTGTTCTGTCTTCCCGGAATGAATTGTGCAAGAACAATAAAGTTGTGCTGCATGGCGGTCAGTGTCAGTCGACGTAGTAGAGTATTTATAGCATGACAGTGAGATGATGCCCTTCCCTTTTTGATGACTTGAACTGTGGCTTGATTGTCGCAGTTAAAACGAATACGTTGCTGAGACCAGAACTTTCCCCATAACATTGAAGCCACAACAATGGGATACAACTCAAGGAATGCCATTGACCAATCATCTCGTTGCTCTATCATCAATTGTGAAGGCCAAACCTCACAGAACCAGTGTCCCTGGAAATAACCTCCAAACCCTTTAGTTGATGAGGCATCTGTGAAAATGTGGAGGTCAGAAGCACTAATTATGTCACCGTTCAGAAATAAGTGGATACCATTCCAAGATTCCAAAAATAGCTCCCACATACGCAACTCTAAACGGCAAGCTTTATTCAATGTGACGTGGTGATGTAACTTAGATACAGAGGAAGCTAGTCTCAGCATGTAAGTGATGAATGATCTTCCTGGCAGGATCACCCTAGCCGCGAAGTTAAGATGACCCAGCAAAGAAAGTAATTGTCGTTTGGTGATTGTTTTCTGTGAAGAAAATTCAGAAATCTTAGCAATAGTTCTGATTTTCTTGTTATCAGGTAGGTAGGCAAGCATGTCCTTAGAATTAATCATGAGTCCTAAATACTCAATTTCTTGTACTGGGCCGAGAGTCTTGTGCATTGCCAAGGGAATGTTTAACGATTTGAAAATCATTGTCATTATAGCCATCGAACGAGCAGCAGTCTCTTCCAACTTGTCCACAGTAAGAAAGTCATCTAGCAAATGTAGGATAAATTTCACTTGAAATCGGTGCTCTGCTATCCAACAGATAGCTTGTGACAATGTATCAAAAATTTTCGGACTTGATCTGGCCCTGAATACCAAACGGACGAAAAAATAATAACTATTTTTCCATTTAACACCATGTAAGTGCCATACTGATGGGTGTAGAGGTAACTGCTTGAAGGCATCAGCGATATCGAATTTGCACATGAATGCATTGCCATCTAATCGTTTAACTTCTTCAAAGTCATCATCAATTCTGGTGTATGACATAGAATACGCGTCCTTGTCAATGAGCTCATTAAGACTAGGCACTTGTGGTTTATCATGTGGTGCAGACATGTCCACAATCAGTCGCAGTTTCTTGGAATATTTGCCCTCAACCAGACCCAAAGGATTAATCCGGTAAACTGGAAATGGAGGTGAATCAAAAGGACCGATTACATATCCTTTGTCTAACTCAGTCTGCAATAAACGTGTAACAGGTTCCGGATTTCTCTGAGCAGACAAATTGTTCAAGCATTCATAGGAAACAGTTGGTGCATCCTCAATGCCAGTCTTAAAGCCATGACGAAGGCCTGAACATAATTGGCTGACAAACTGGAAATGGAGGTGAATCAAAAGGATCTATTACATATCCTTTGTCTAACTCAGTCTGCAATAAACGTGTAACAGGTTCCGGATTTCTCTGAGCAGACAAATTGTTCAAGCATTCATAGGAAACAGTTGGTGGCGTCCTCAATGCCAGTCTTAAAACCATGACGAAGGCCTGAACATAATTGGCTGACAAAGTCTGAATCTGGGTGATTAGTCAAATATCTTACCAATAAATCAACTTGAATCGGTGTGCTAGGTGTAGGCAGTCAATGAGTGGTACCAGGATTAACAGCAATGGATTTAGGAGCCCTGGCTGCATTGAATGACTTGGGGCAACTATATTCTGGGTGGCTGGATTTGCATGAAGTACAGGCATGCAAAAAATGGCATGGATATCTAGAACACCCTTTACCGTCGGTATTATAGTTATTACACCCTTCTTTACCATTTAAATAAGTCTTGGGGCGTCCTCTAACGTCGACAGTTGAATTAGCCTGTTGTTGGTTGGGTGTAAAGAATTGCTTACGTGGACAAAAGTCTGACGAATGAATTGTACTACCACAAATTGAGCACGCATTAGCTTTACGTCCGGCGGTGAGGCGCATAAAAATATCCGCATCTCGGATCGACCAGTCAATTTTGATGTTTCTTTGCAGTAACCAAGCTGCTGCACGAGTGGCAAATTCGACATGGTACTCGTAGAATAGACTGCCCCCGAAGCTAATGGCAATGTCCGTTATGTCGTCTTGGTAACAGTCTAGTTCTTCACGTCTATGTGGGAAAACTTCACATATAATGGATTTATATCTGCCAAACGCAACCAAGAACTCGTTATGAGTCGGGGATCGGGATTACCCGTCAGGCGTATTGCATTTCCCATGGCGTCCAAAATAGAACGACTTTCTATACTTTCATGTGCGGGTATCAGTAACGTTGCTAGGTTGACATATTTACCTTGGGTTATATTGTTCCTCATAGCATCAGTAACTGCAACAATTCTTGGCAGGTCGTGTGACGCAATCCCAAATCTCCTCCTCGCAGGTGGTGTAAAATCTGAGGCGTAAGGAGGTCCATAAACAGGCGTGCTTGTAGGCCCACGATCAGTGTGAACACGATCGACCCCACACGATGGGGCGGCTGCCATGTTGTTTACCGCCAGCCTGGTATCCGATGTTTGATTTGAGTTGCGACAGCGTGCTGGTTGAAATAAATCCATTTCGCCTGGAAATAAACTGTCCGTGTTGAAAGTCGTAGATCTTCTGTTTACACCAGTTGATTCCTGCTCAGTCAGTGTTGGGGGTTCGGGATCTGAATCTAATTCTGTCGCAGCATTCGTCACGCTAATGTTGGTAGCGTATGGGCCCCTTTGTTGCTGGCTATTTAGCTTGTACAAGTTGATCGCTTCTTTCTTGCTCATGGTAGACGGTAAGAGTATGCCAATGTCCTGAAGTTTTTGTCGAATTTGACGTACTGTCCAGTTTTTGGGGTCTGTGGTGTCCAAGGCTCGCAAATTCGATGTTCTCGACGTTGATGCGTTGATTCCGTCGTTATTGTCCTTGATGTATTCGGTGATGAAATCATCCGGCCACGGCATCTGGAATTTCTTCCCCGTCTCCGAGGAGCGTTTTCATCTCTGACTGGACTTGGTATTGGCGAAGGAGCACGGCGTTTCCGGCCTCGACTCCTGCCTCTATCAGTGGTAGAACTTTCCATTTCAGAAGCGAAAGTATATAATTTCAAGAAGTCAAATAGACTGCTTCAAGCACGTGTACAGCTTGAAAAAACTGATGACGTAGCAACATAAAGATGCTCATGAATATGCAAATAGTTGTGTCAATAAATATAAATATATTGTCTAATATAAACCACTAGACTCCCATTTGTGCAAGCGATATCGATTTAAAACATCCAATAACATGAAATAACCGCCTGTTCTGCTTAATTTCAAATAATCCATGCAGCTGTTTGGTTATGTGCCCGACAAATGTTTAAAGTAAAACACAATCGGGGGTGTTAGTACTTGCATGGGAGACTCCCTGACTAAACTACCTATTGATT